CTGGGACAGTGTGCCCTACCATGTAGAATATGGGTGAACACACACCCCACCCTGGGACAGTGTCCTACCATGTAGAATATGGGTGAACACACACCCCAACTGGGACAGTGTGTCCTACCATGTAGAATGAGTGAGTTAAAAAGGTAAGGGACCCCATGAGGTAAGTCTGTCTGTCTGTCTGTCTGTCTGTCTGTCTGTCTGTCTGTCTGTCTGTCGTGTGCCATGTAAGGAAGAGGATGGGAAGGGCAAGTCAATGCCCTTTGCCAGGAAACAGGTGAGGTAAAAGAATGCCCTTTTGTTTGCATTCCCAGGCGGGTATGAAGTATGAAGATTAGTGGACCAGTGGTATTTATTTTTATAAGTAGTCACTTTTAGAGTGATCTAAAAATACTTTTTTTCCCTGCTGTGTAAAACAATCTGAACAACAGGAAAGACAAACAATTCCAAAGTGTAACCCCAAACACAGACATACCTCTGTGCTCGCAGCAGGTACTTCCTGTTGTTTTCTAAACACTCAGAGGTGTGATCCCTGCGGTCTGTCTTCTATCTTCTGTAGGGTTTTCCCTGTCTTCTGTGGACGAAGATGGTATTCGAAGGCTCTATGTGAACAGCGTCAAGGAAACCGGGTTAGCTTCCAAGAAAGGTAAGACTGTGGAGGCCTTGGCTGCTTCTGTTTCTGTTACATTTTTTTGCTTTTTAGTTTTTGAGACAGGGCCTTGATACTTAGCTAAGGCTGGCTTGGAACTCTTGGTGTGGCTCAGGTCGGTCATGGACTCATAGTCTCCCTGCATCAACCTCTCCAGTGTTAGCAATCTACAGACTTGCAAACCCCTACCTCTACCCCCCACCCCCACCCCGTGGCTCCTGTTTATCTCATAACCTTTTGGATTTTTCTCATTGGTTAATGAGAAAGACATTTCCAGAGGGTTTGTGTATAAAGAATATTTCTCCTTGAAAACAGTGCCAAGGAAGGGGGTTTTACTCCATGAATTCGGGTGTGCAAGAAATGTCACACTCCTAGGTTTAGGAGGAGACTCTGAGCCTGTATCTATGGGACTACTGCGATATTTCCTCTAACTACCATGGTTCTTTATCTTCTGGGGAGCTCTGGGGCTTGGGGGAAGCAGAACTTTGGCCCTCACTGTCAGAGGCATTGCCCGAGCCTGCAGCACCCCCAGAAGAGGTTGTTCCACTCCGTCACTTCCTGGAGAGTCAGCGGAGGTTGGTTTGAGATCCAGCCTCCTCATCTCCGTTGTCTGCTCTGCCCAGCTATGTCTTGCCGGTGTTCTCAGGTTCCCTTGTCACCCTAGATTACAGTGGACCCTCTATATCCACAGACTGTGCGTCTCTGGGTTCCACCAACTACACATTGAAAATCTCCAGGGGAGGGAGGGGGTCAGTGGTTATAAAGTTACCAAATACTGAACATATACTCACCTTTGTTCCTGTCATTATTGCCTAAACAATATAATGTAGTTACCAGTTCCATAGCATTGATGTTGCTTTAGATATTACAGATAATTTACAGATGATTCAAATATGGCTGTATGCAGATTTGACTCCACTACATCTGCAGATGTTTTCAAGGGCCATCTTGGAATCCACCCACCAAGGGTACCAAGAGAAGCCAGAACTTGTCCACTCCATTAGTTTTTAGGACCACGATTACAGATTAAACTCTGTGGCTCAAACACACAGAAAATTTTTCAGTTCAAGAGGCTAGAAGTCTGAAGCCAAGGTGTTGGGAGGATCGATTCCGTTTGGAGCCTCAGGGAAGAATCTGTCAGAATTCTTAGACATGGCGGCTGCCAGCCCTCTCCAGTGATCCTTGGTTATTAACTGATGTGTTCTATTTTGGCCTTAGTATTCAACATGGCCATTCCTCCATGTCCTTAGTCCTTCTGTGGCTGTCTTCTAAGAACAGAGGTCATTTTGATCTAACACTCACCCTAAATTTCCACGAATTTTGTCTTAGGGTTTATTTTGACTTAATTATGTCTTCATATTGTATAGTTGTAGTAGTTATTTTAATTATCTCCATGATTCGTGCCTGAGCCGAACCTCTTTCCAAAGAAGGTTGCTTCCTGATGTTGTAGTCAGAACATGATTGTTTTTGTTTTGTTTTGAGGGCGTCACTGTTCAGCTCATTATACTTACAGAAATATGAAGCCAGTCGGTAAGTTTAGGAATTTTGTTCTTGGTGTGGAATCTTGTGGGAAGATAATCCACGTTGGCCAGCACCTGTGTGTCCGCTGTGCCTCAGACACAGTTACCCAAATCTCATCTGCCAGGAACTCTTGACTGGGGCCCTGGGAACAAAGGGGAATGAATTTCCTGCCTCCATCCCTGTGGCAACCGAGCGCAGTACTGGGTGTTTCATAGCTTGTGAGTTCTGTATGTGGATCATTTCATTTGTGCTGTCAGCCAGTCTGTGTGTGCACAGACAGAGAAGGAGGGACGTGGGGAGGGATAGTGAGGATCATGTGCTAGCTGTCCTGGGGGAGAACCTCCTGCCTGTTCCGTCTGTACTTTCTAGACCACAGGCAGACTGGAGGCCGGAGTTTGCAGAGGCGCTGAGCTGCATCTCAGCTGAGAACCGAGACAGGTTGATCCCCTCCAGACCTGGGGCCTGATCGTTATCGCTTTCAGCAGGATGAGTGTGCCGTGGGCGTGGCCTGGGGGTGGGGGATCTTCTGGCTTTAGTCACATCCTGTCTTAGTTCTTTGAATCTGAGAACCCTGATGCTCCATGAAAACAAATGTCTCCCCAGCCTCCTCGCGCCATAGAGCAGTGTTCTCAGCAGAGGTAAGACCGGTGTGTATGTATGGGTCTTCTCCAGCCACAAATACCATCCTGACACCCCACACAGGGCGGGCAGTGTCAGGAGGAGGCGCGTGGAGTGTTAGCTCTGGCAATTAATGAAAACATCCATCCCACCCACCCCCCCCCTTCGGGGCTCACTGCAGGCCACACAGCCTGTTTGTGTACTCTGTACCAAATGTCCCCTCCCCCAGCTTCCCTCTACTCCCCCAGTTTAGCTTGATGTTGTCGGATCAGCCAGCCTTCGATAACCTGTCATCTGTTTTACCTGTCATCTGTGAGATATTTTCTTTCCCAGAATCAGCGACCCCAAGTCCTCTGACCACTCATTAGCATACAGACTAGAACTCGGACTGGCTTTTTGAACACAGCCTAGGTGCCTGCAGCCCTGTTAAAATGGCCAGAGTATGTTGTTGAGAGGAGAGGCCAGTTGAGCGGTGGCCGCAGTGGATCCGAGCACTGTTTGCATGAGCACACACTGGTTTCCACCTTTGTTCCTTTTCGTTGGCCACACTGGCCTTTTGGCCATTCCTGCAGTTGGGTCCCATGTTCCCACTCCCACCCTCTTGCTCTTCACACACAGACGGCTCTGAACGTGGGCCCGCATGGGCTGCCCTTGCAGAACGGACTTTCTGTACCGTGGTGTGTTCTTTGACCCTTCCACGTCTCCATTCATCACGGCCCTGTTTGTTTTTGGACCGTCACTCTCCCTTGGAGATCACTCGAGAGTCGTTTGTTGTCATCTGGGATTTTCATGATGGCCTCACAGGACATAGCCTGGTTGAGAAGGACACACGCCATCTTGCTCCAGACAGCTTGGAGACTTTTTTCATGGTCAATTCTTATTTCCAGCGTCAGTTAGGGGTAAATGGCAACCTGGAGAGCCAATGTTTATTGAATGTCTTCAGAGATTACACGATCAGCTTCATTTCCTCCTCACCACGTTTCCCTCTTACCTATGAGACTGGGGCTGGGGGTGAGGTGTCAGCTGTCCCAGAGGCTGCCCATGCCGCAGCTGTGGCAGAAAGACCCCAGTGGGAGGTGTCACAGCACAGTACTGCGGACATGGCCTCTCCTCTTCCCTCATTCTGAGAAGAACGCCTTCTGTGCTGTCTCCCTGGTGTTGCCATAACAAAGTCCTGGAAGCTGGGTGGCTTACCGCAGCAGAAATTTCTGCGCCTGCAGTTCCGGAGAAGCTAGGCAAGGTTTCGCTGGCCATGCTCGCCCTGAACCTTTTGGAGAGAACCCTCTCTGGCCTCATCCAGTGTCTGGCCACATCCAGGGCTTGTGGCTGTATCACCACAGGCTCTGCCTCCACCTTCACTGGCCCCCGCTCTTCCTTGTGGTCGTTCTTCCATGGGCCCGGTGAAGGTGGACACAGACCCACCAGACCATGCAGAGTCTTATGGTCACAACCATAAAGATCCTCTTTGAAGGCAAAAATGCGCTCACAGGTTCTGTGAGTGCAAGGACATGGGGACAACGTTTCCAGGGGTCAGCACTCAACCTGCCATTATCTTACTCTGCCAGTCGCATGAACCCGGAAGCTTCCCTCCAAAAATCTTCATAGATGCCTTCTGGCTTTCAGATCTTTTTATCCCAATATCCTGTGATACCGGACTTACAGGTCTTTGAGTTGTTTTAAGAAAAGACCAAAGCCAGCCATGGCTCACACCCATAATCCTAGCCCACGAGAGGCAATGGAAGGATTGCTGTGAGCTCAGAGTCAGACTGAACTGCATAGTGAGTTCCAGGACATACATACACACACACACACACACACACACACACACACACACACACACACACACACACGCCAAACACTAACATCTCTGTTTTTCATATATTGGAATTTTATATTTTCTGTTTAAATATTACACTGCTCCAGATTTTTACCTAAAAATGAATTGTTTAGGGCTAGAGAGATGGCTCAGTGGTTAAAGTCACTGGCTGTTCTTCCAAAGACCCTGAGTTTAATTCCCAGCAGGCACATGGCAGCTGATGACCTCTTTAACATCCATGGAATATGATGCTGTCTTGGTATGCAGATGTACATGCCGACAAAACACACATAGAAATAAACAAATAAATCATAAATACAATGAATGGTTTACTCAACAGAATTTTACCTTGGACACAAAAACATTCTCATTTCATTCATTTCCTCCCCCTCCCCATGCACTTTTCATTTTCTCTGTTTTATGCTCGGTAATGGGTTTTGTAAGTTTTAGAAATCAGAGTGAGTGAGGATAGCCAGGGTTAGCTCCAAATCTGGGAAGTGAGAACTCTCTAGAATGATCCTTCTGCAGAGTCAGACCTGGGATCCATGGCTGCCTTGGGTGGGGCGGTTCTCAATTCTGCAATTCTTCTGTCTCAGCCCTTCCTTCACCTCCCATCTCAGGGAGACTCCCTTCCCTCGCCGCCGCCTCCTCCTCTTTGTCCTCCTCCAGCAGCTGCAGTGGCTATATAAAGAATTGAGCCGCCCCTTCCTTAGGCACAGCCTCTGGTCTCCCCAGGTTGGGCTTCTTCTTGGCTGTCCCTTCGGGTGGCCCTTTCCCAGGTGTGCCCTGCAAAGGCTTCAGAAACTTCTGAGGACCTGACAAAATGAAATGAAGATGTGCTTCCCGGGTCCTCCTGTCATTCAAAGGCAGAGGGAGTGGTGATAACAGCTGCATTTGGTTCCGTAGACTGTCCTCTCTGTATGACTTTGGAAAGTGGTAGGCAGAAGAAACTTCTGCATTTTAGTCTCCTAGAAATGATAATAGATAATAGTGTGTACAAAACACTGTTGCCAACATTTCCAGAAACCAGCATGTTGGGGAGTTAACCAGACTCAGCATTTGGAGAAGAAGATTGGCAGATGCTTAGAACACATTGAAGAAGTAATGAGTGGGTTCAGGTCAGCAGTTCTCAACCTGTGGGTCGTGACCCCCTGCAGGGGGTCACCTAAGACCATTGGAAAACATAGATACTTTCAGTTCATAACGGTAGCAAAATTACAGTTATGAAGTAGCAACGGAAATAATGTTATGGTTGAGGGTCCCCACACCACGAGGAGCTGTGTCAAAGGGTCGAGGGTTAGGAAGGTTGAGAACCACTGGTCTAGCGCTTTCTCAAACCCATGTGAGTGCTGCATCCTGCGCCCAGCAGCCCTGGGGCTGCGAGACTCATTCCAGGAGCGCTTGGCATGCCCCTCCTGTCAGAACTTCTAAGTAGTTGTGCTCTGATTTGTGTGACATTAAAACTTTTCCACCTTGCCTTGGCAGGCCTGAAGGCGGGGGATGAGGTTCTCGAGATCAATAATCGTGCCGCCGGCACCCTGAATTCGTCTATGCTCAAAGATTTCCTCTCACAGCCCGCCCTGGGCCTCCTGGTGAGGACCTACCCTGAGCTGGAGGGGGGAGCGGAGCTTCTGGAGAACCCACCGCACCGAGTGGACGGCCCTGTGGACCTTGGCGAGAGCCCCCTCGCCTTCCTCACCAGCAACCCAGGTAGGCTGTGCCCAGGGCTGTGCCTCGTCAGCCTGTGCCCTGGGGCACGCTCCACACTCTGTGCACCTCGGGCATTGGAAGGCTGTCATTGAGTGAGTGAAGCTGCCCTGTACTTCCTGTTGACATTTTTAAAGGGGAAGGTGTTTTTGTCATGGAACATGTGCTTTGTGTGTCTTTTGCTCGTTGTCGTCTTGGAGAGGAGTGAGTGATGGGAGGCCACCACTTCATGGTCGTGGATAAAGGCATGGGATCTCAGATGCCCCGGAGAGGCATAGTCCTCCTGTAGCCTTCTCTGTCTCCAACCCCAAAGTCTGCCCAGCCCTGTGCCTCTTCCCCCGTGAGAGGAACTGGGGGCTTTGTGAGGCATCTTCTCCAGCAGGTGTTTGCTTGGTGTGACTCCCGTGAACGTGAATCGGGTCAGCGGAAACCCTGCCGTACCCCCGCACCCCCGCTCCATCTGCTACTCTTACCTCCTTTCTTTCCTGCTCCCTCTGGTGCCCATGTACGCATCCTGATAGAAGCAGCTTGGGTGACCCCTGCCTTGGAAGCCTTCCTGGGACCCCCACAGAGTTAGTGCCCACCCAAGCTCCATGGCCTGCAAAATGTGTCTCTTTGGGCTCCGGCCATATTGTCCTATGAGGGTTACTTGTTTGTTTGCTTTTTAAGTTTTAGTCTGACGGGCTTTCACTTTGTAGCCCAGACTGCCTTGGAACCCCCTGAATAGCCTCGGTTGGCCTTGAACCCAAGATTTCCCTGCCTCTGCTTTCCGAGAACACCTCCAAGCCTGGCTCATTTGATACTTTTGACTTGCCTGTCTCTTTCCTTAGTGTTTGTTTTCTTGGAATAGGTGTGTTTTCTTCCTCTGTGCGGTCCTTCCCTTTGGACACGGCTTCCCACACAGGCGACCCTTTCCGGTTGAACTTGAGACTGAATGTATGAACAGAGGAACTGGGTGGATTGCAGTAGCTCAGTTTTTATGAACTGGTGCTAGGGTTTGGGTTGACTGACTAGGCTTAATTTCAGAAGTATTTTCTCTTTGGCTTGTGTTTTCAGGGGGAAAAAAAAAGCTTGAGGCAGGGTGCATATGCGTTTGTGTGTGTGTGTGTGTGTGTGTGTGTGTGTGTGTGTGTGTGTGTGTGTGTGTGTGTGT